TTCATAACTGATATTCTATTTATGGTTATTGCAATTTGCGTTCTTCTCACCACAATGATCCTTATACATAATTATCAGTATCACTCTGAATGACAAAACAACAGACCTATAGGGTAACATAATAGGAAGTATTTTAAAGAGCTGAATAGGTAAGAGAAATAGTCAAAGTAGTATATCTGTCACATACATTGAGATGAATTACTGGTATTTTTCTTTTTAAATGTCTGTTTATGCATCTTTCACCAGTTGAATCTTGCCCAGTGATTTAGAATAATTTCAGTCTTCAAGAATGTCTTTTAATGCCTTTTAATAGGTTTTGAGGGCACAGATTATGTCCCTCTTATTCTTTTCTACCCAGTAGGTATCATCAACAGCTGAGGCAGATACTGTATGTTGCAAAGCTGAAAAAGCCTTGTCAGCTGTGTCCAAAGGGCACTATGCTCATTACTTTGAAAGAATGTGAGATATGTCTGTGAGGCAGAATGCTATGTTGAAAGACAGAGGGGGTGAACAATGAGCTGGTCTCTTTGATGATTATTTATTTATTTTTAAATTTCTAAATCCGTTGAGGATGTAGCGGTGGGATTAAATACAGGCATGATGTCAGTTCGAGATTTCTAAGCCAAATTACTGTGTGCTGATATTGTGGTTTTAAAAGGGACTCTGCAGAATAATGATCTTTGTTACTAATGATGATCTATATTTATCTGAGCAGTTTTGTGGAACAAACAAGCTTATTTGCCTCATGCAGCTGATGTACCTCTCATTTGTTTTTAACAAAACAGAAATTGAACTTGTAGATAAAAACTGTATGTTGTGTACTTTTCAGCACATAGATTCAAGGCAGAGACGCTCAGTGGTCCAAAGTGTTGCTTTCAGATGACAGCAAATTTTGCATCTCATTTGGAAATCAAAGTCCCAGAGTCTGGAGGAAACTCAGAGAGGCAAAGAATCCATGGTGCTCGATGTCCAGCGTGAAGTTGTCATGGTCTGTGACTACTTGGGGTGCCATGTCATCTGTTGCCGTTGGTTAGCTGTTTTATCAAGTCCAAAGTAAACCCAGTTGTAGTCTACCATAAGATCTTACACCACTTAATGACCCACTCCAATGAATATCATGTTTTTCTTGTCGTCTACATATTCATATGGCATTTTTCTGATGCTAGAGAACGTACCATGAGTATTTCTGCATTGAAATTGCTGTGAATCTCTGGCAGACCCAAACAACAGGTTTAGAGACAGTGAGATTTCCAACATCACAAATCCAAGCTCTATCCCTTGTAAGAAAGCTAATTATGATATTGACTGTCATCATGTCCCCAAAGATATTGGTATCCTGAATAGCTCCTATGTTTCTACTACACCAGCAATGTTAGGCTGCATGCTAGCATGAAGAGGAGTTTGGAGAGCAGTGCTGTCTCCGCCCACGACTCCATCCATCCATCCATTTGGCTTATTTTTTAATGCTCACTATGCATTCTTAATCCCCAGCATCACAGTCAGTATCATTGCTCCCTGTTCTTAAACTATGCCACTTTCCGGACAACTCATCATGCTCTGGGCCTCCTAACTTTGGTTTGCAGATGGTTGCATCTGCATTTTGTGTTCCAATGAACAGTGTCTCGGGGACATATAAAAGATTTAATGTCTTTTTAATTGAGGATAATCAGTTTAAAATATGTTCATTGACTGTAAAATAGAACACATTCGTGTACTAACAGAAAAAAGAACCTGATTATGTCCAGTCTAATGAACTCAAAGAGCTCTATTTTTGTGTCTGCCGGTGCAGCGGCAGAGGGTGGCGGACCCCGTGCAGTGGTATTTCCGTCTGGCGGAGCCCGGCGTACAGCCAGTTTGGTATTTTTGTGGACTGAGGCACTCCGAGGTCCGCCAAGCTGGGCGTGGTGGTGTGGCAGAGGGAGGTGTCGACAGAATCAGCTGGCGCAGTGACATTTTTGTGCTAGCCAGTGTATAAAGTGCGCTGAAAGCTCACCAATTCAAACCTGGTCGGCTTTCAGCGCAGACGGAGCGCAGCTGGTCTAGTGGTATTTTGGTAGACCGGCGGCGTATTACGCATACATCACTGATGCCTCACCAGCAGGTTTCCACAGTGTCAGGCACATTTCAGTGCAATAAATAATCACCAACAACTAATAATCTGAGTCAGCAAATACATTTAGATGTATATAGATATATTTTGATCTATATCTGATCTGATGAGCGCGTTTGGCACGCGTTTGGACACACAACCTGACCGAATCAACACAGCTGAAACTGCAGTAAATTAAATTAAATTAAATATCTAGTAAATAAACACACATGATGAAGTTAAGATATTGAATTCGTCTCCCTCCTTTTCTTTCTTCCTCTATCTCTACCTTCTCGCGCAGCTCGACCTGGACATCTCTCTGTGTCCTCTCCCCGTCCTGCTGCAGCTGCTGCGGCGGCTGAACAGATGATTTGTTTCAGTGCTGAGATGAGTTATTTACTTTAAGCCTACATGCAAATGTCATAATATTCAGTTTTGTGAACCAACATCTATGAAAGAAAGAGCCAGGCCACGGAGCGCGATGCGTCATTTACGCACAGATGGTTCCAATTTTAATGCCATTTTTGGAGTTTATGTTGTGATCTGTGCGCTCAACCCACCTTTGTCACGTGAGGTTTGAATATATGCAACTTTGTGTGAGTGTCTTTATTTGTGGAAAAGGGTGTTTGTCTTACCAGTGGGTCCAACAATACACACACCAAATCCATCTGTTCTCAGATGAGAGAGTGTGGAGGACGCCCTCTGCAGCGCTTACAGTGACACTTGTTGAGGGGCTGCCTTCTGTCGCCATCGTGTGGCATTTCTGTCTTCAGACATCTCTTGATCTCTTTGACTACTTCATGAAAATTGTAATATGTCTCGCTAGTGGCAGATTTAAAGGCGAGTAGAGTAGCTTATGTGATTGGTTAAAACAGGTCATGGCTGTGTTAAACTAACTCAACGGCCTCTCTCCTTCCCTCGCTACGATTTACGCCGCTGGGAGGAGCTGAGTTAGGGACGGGGGATACTTACGCCGGGCTGCGCCAAAAATAGAGTCCTAAGTCTTTACCTATCTTGCAGGCAGATATGCATGTGCACTTACACACAATGTTTGTGTATCTCATTTGTCTGTGGTGTGTAGATGCAGAAGGAGACTTTGTTACGCTGGCTTGCTTGTACAGTAAAACCGGGGATGCTGGGAGACGACTGCTATTGTTGTGTTGCTCGTGAACGTTTTGTTCAAAAGAACGGAACTACTGAGTGAACGACGTGAATGGAATCACTCCAAGATCTGGTTTCCTTTCTTAGTTCATTTGAGCACAGCCGCAGCTCAGTCGTGCTGGTCGGGAGTGGAACTGATCAGTCAGACTGTGAACAAAATAAGTGACTTCCGAATGGCATGAGACAGGCAGAGGAGGGCATTGCGCTGTTCATGAACTGCCAGGCTTTCATTCGTTCACTGTGAGGATGAATGTAGGCTAAGATAAAACAGTGCATTATAGTGCCTTTACATTAATACACGTCTATAAACTTTCCTGCAAGGATTTAATTTAAGCCAATTAAAAGCAATATGCGATTTGATATCTTTAAAAGTATCAGAATTCCCGCTACAGTTGCGATGCTTATTTATTTTTAAGCTCTCCACTTTTCTGCGATATAAAAGAACGACGACTCGCACTCGTTTAGCAAGCATGCTACTTGCTGCTGTGTTGTCTCACTCACTGCTGTGTTGCTGTGTTGATGCGAACGTCGGCGGCACACGGAGAGGTGAGTTTTTCAGGGTAGAGGAGTAATTTGTTTCACGACTTGGTGAATGAACAACATGTGTCATCCAGTTAACGGGAGGGGCTTTTTCAATCAACAAACTCCCAATCAGCGCCGTTGTGTCACTCACTCGTGTAATGCACCGGCAGGACAGGGCTCCAAAGCACTGACTGATTCTGTAAACAAATCTTTTAAACGAATCCTTTTGATGAACAGATTCTAAAGATTCAGTCAAAAGAACTGTTCTTCCCATCACTAACAACTGCCAATGATGTCCTTCTCCTTGATTGCAGTTTAAGCACCTCTTATGTAGGGTTAGGAGGTGCTTACACATCATACACGAACGCCTCTCAAACATCCTGTTTTGATGAAAGCTGGAGTCTGGCTCTAAATTGTGAGACACAAAATAGTACTGGCACAACAAAAAAAGAGCTTCTTCTGGACATTCGATGGGAAGTACAAACTTCATCATGTATGATTTCACTACAGATACCTCAGTGGTTTTATTAAAACAGCACATTTACATAACTTAAAAACAAGGTAATCAGATTTTTTGACAAATTTTGATCAAGCCAATACAAAGAGAGATCAAACAGGGCACACAAATGCACACATTCACACAAACTACTAAACAAAGACAAACCCCCTGCAGACACAAAGAGCAAGCATGCAAGCAGAAATAAATCAGAGCTTCAGCCAGGTGGATGAGATGTATTTCACACTCAAGAAGTGGCCTTCTCTGCCAGGAACAAGGATCATTAATCTCTGGTAGACAGGGTCTATGGCTTAAAGCTGGCACAGGTAGACCTAAACTGGGGGGACCTGCACTACTATAACTATTAGCTGCTCATAGTGTTGTCAGTTGTCAGATAGTACAGATGTGGTGCTGTTGACTTAAACTAAAGGTTATACCCCAGCCAAAAGCCACAGACCCTTGTGGGGCAACTGACAGCACATAACTCACCATGATACACACACACACACACACACTTCTCACCCTCAAAAAAGAAAGCAAGCAAAGTATTGTCTGTTGAACATTGCTCTTGTGTTTGTGCTCTCATTTCTTTTTCTTCAGTCAACCATGATGATACTTTGCTTGTGGCTATGTAAATTCCTGTCCTCAAGAACTTTGAAACTATGACAATATTGTCAGAGAAGACAAACACCCAACGATAACAACCTCAGCTCTGGCTATATAACAACAGCCATGAAGAAAATAATCTTCTTCATCGTTTTTTGCACAGCTGTTGAGGAGGGTTCAGGGGAGCATATCTTTGTTTCTTTGGAAAAGACTTGGTATGAGGCTCAGGCTTACTGTAGAGAAAAGTACACTGATCTGTCCTTTATTACTAGCCAGAGTGAGCAAAATCGTCTTCAAGCAGCCTCAGGTCAAAACATTACCACTGGATGGATTGGTCTCCACAAAGAAAGCATCAACAGCTCAGTCTGGAAGTGGTCAGGAGGTGAGCACATAACATACCAGAACTGGGGATACTGGCAACCGGACAATTACAATGGGAGGGAGTCTGTTGTACAAATCTGGTATGGTGGAAAGTGGAACGATTTTGAGCCATCGTTTGAGCTGCCTTTTTACTGCATCAGTGTTACTGCAGTGCAGGTGAGGAGGACCTGGGAGGAGGCCCTGGAGCATTGCAGAGAGACTGACACTGACCTTGCAAGCCTGCACTCTGAGTGGGAGATGCACCAGGTTCTGAGTGGGATCCAGCATGACCACATAACCGAGGGGGTGTGGATCGGCCTGCGTTTTCTTGGAGACCGCTGGCTGTGGCTGGATGGTGGCTCTATGTTGTATGAGGCCTGGCCAGAGGGAGAACATCAGGACTACCAGTGTCCAATACAAAAACGCTGTGGAGCTTTAACCAAAGGAGGACGGTGGGGGAACTGGGACTGTGAGGAAAAACTCAACTTCATCTGCAACTGAGAGATTCGGCAACTGTAATTAGTTGGTCTCGGATGTATGATGCTTTAGCTAAAAGCATCTGCTAAATGGGCTTGTAATCCTGTAAAAACTTTGTTAGTTTGTTTTTGTGTTTTATTTTATGAAGCCTGTAAAATAAAAGAAGAACTCATTTAGCCATAGCTGTTTTAAGATACTTTATGATGCCTTCATAATAATCTATATAATGACCAGGACCAGTGCCTGGTCACACCCTTTTGCTTGATTTGTCATTTTGCATTATTCCTACTCCTCTTATAATCTACATAGCATGAACGCCTTTGTTATTTATATTTTGAAGTAACTCATAGATGTCTCAGGTGTAGTAAAAAATATATATATATACTGTCAATTAATACTTTGAGATATATTCATGATGAACTTATAATAACCTGTCTTACCAGTTTCATATCTTTACTTCACTGGTAAGTCTTAAGAAATGTATATAAATTACATTGATTGCAGTGTGCTTTGTTTTTGTATAATAATATTAAATATTACAGCTTTAATTCAGATGCCCCCTTGAAGCGTGGTACTATTTATGTAATATCTGATAATGTATAAAAGGGAAAGTGAAAAACAGAAACCCTCATAAAATATTAGAAATCATAAATTGGTCAAAACTGAATTGTGATCTGATGCTACAAAAAATTTCAAATAGGTATTAAAGATGAATTTAAAATGCCATGAAAATAAGAAAATTCATTCATGAAACAGGCTAACAAAGCTGATTATTATTTATAGTACCCTTACTAATCATATTTGAGGACTGTTTTTTTAATATATTCTGTCATCATATTTGTTCACAAAACCGTTTCAACAATTATAAGAAATACAGGTTTGGTAAAGTCTAGTCTATGTTTTTTTTTTTTTGTTTGTGTTTTTTTTTTTTTTGTAGGCCGAGGTGCAACGAGGTCCGCCAAGCTGGGCGTGGTGGCATGTCATGGGGAGGTGTCGACAGAATCAGCTGGCGCAGTGACATTTTCGCGCTCGCCAGTGGCATGCAAAGTGCGCTGAAAGCTCGCCAATTCAAATCTGGTCAGCTTTCAGCGCAGACAGAGCGCAGCTGGTCTAGAGGTATTTTGGTAGACCGGTGGCGTATCGACATACGTCACTGATGCCTCACTGACAGGTTTCCACAGTTTCAGGCACATTTCAGTGCAATAAATAATCAAAAACAACTAATAATCTGAGTCAGCACATACATTTAGATCTATATAGATATATTCTGATCTGATGAGCGCGTTTGGCACACGTTTGGACACACAACCTGACCGAATCACCACAGCTGAAACCGCATTAAATTAAATTAAATATCTAGTAAATAAACACACATGATGAAGTTAACAAGATATGTAATTCGTCTCCCTCCTTTTCTTTCTTCCTCTTCCTCTTATTTCTTGTGCAGCTTGACCTGGACATGTCTCTGTGTCCTCTCCCAGTCCTGCTGCAGCTGCTACTGCTGCGGTGGCTGAACAGATGATTTGTTTTAGTGATCAGATGACTTATTTACTACATACAAATATTATAATATTCAGTTTTGTGAGCCAAATTTATTTCATATGCCAAAATCTATGAAAGAAAGAGCCAGGCCACGGAGCACGATGCGTCATAACGCACAGATGGTTCCAATTTTAATGCCATTTTTGGAGTTTATGTTATGATCTGTGCGCTCAACCCACCTTTGTCACATGAGGTTTGACTATATGCAACTTTATGTGAGTGTCTTTTTTTGTGGAAAAGGGTGTTTGTCTTAGCAGTGGGTCCAAAATTACACACCACTAAATCCATCTGTGCTCATATGAGAGAGTGTGGAGGACACTTGTTGAGGAGCTGCCCTCTGTTGCCATCTTGTGGCATTACTGTCTTCACACATCTCTTGATCTCTTTGACTACTTCACTAAAATTGTAATACGCCTCGCCTGTGGCGGATTCAAAGGCGAGTAGAGTAGCTTATGTGATTGGTGAAAACAGGTCTTGGCTGTTTTAAACCCACTCCACCCCCTCTCTCCCCCCTCCCGACGACTTACGCCGCTGGGAGGAGCTGAGTTAGGGAGGGGGGATACTTACGCTGGGCTGCACCGCTCACCAAAATACCAAATTGTGCTTGGGAACGCCTTGTCGGCGTGGCGGACCTGACTTACGCCGCGCCTGCGGCACGTCTCCAGCGAAGCACGAAAATAGAGCCTTAAGACACAGAATTTTTTCAGTGAATTGAGTTATTTGTTTTAATTTCCCACACTTAACCCTGGGTTCCTGTCATTTTTTTTTTAATCTTTATTTTGAGCTGACAGTTACATTTTTAAAGATTTGGGGACATTTGGACAATTTCAACTTTGCCCTCACTTCAGAGCAAGTGGATGGACATGCACGAGTATGCACAGGTCCTTCAGATCATTAGGTGAGAATTCATCACATCTCAAATATGCAGTTATTTTTATATGTACGCAGTCAGCGTAATAGCGGTCATATTTTGGTTAGAGGTGGATAAGCACTCAGAAGTGATTCCTATCTTACATACGTCCTCTGATTTCATATTCAAAATTAATTTAATATGAACAAATAAATCGATTTTACTTCTCGTCATTAACAGGGCCCAGACTCTTTTTATTTAAAAAAAAAAAATCATCTAGGTCACTTCATGTGGGAAATATGGCGGTTTGGTGTTTTTTACCATTAAAAAATAACAGTGACATGGAACACAATAATTGGAATAAAAAGGGTAATAGATCCATTTTTTATTCATTTTTTTTACATGGTCAGGGCTGAAGTTGTTTACGAGGTATGAGTTGAAAAACGTTAAAAAAAAAATAAAAATAAAAATAAAAAATGATTATTTTATGAACACTTATCTGCATGTCCGTTTTGGGGACTAAGTAGGCTGGATGGAGCTTAGAACTATCAGGAACCAAGGGGTAATGTAACTGTCCTTTTAAATCACCTTGAATAGCAGGTTGAATAGCAGCACTGAAAGGTAAATTAAAACTGGAGGTGGGTTTAGTGATTACTGGACAAATGACTCTTAGCAGAAATAAAGTTGAGGGTCATGTTTTAAAAAATATGATAATATACTTGTGTCCTCTGCAGGCAGATATACAGCACTAGCACATTACGACACAAAACACAAGATGCTTTAATCTCCTTAGCAGTCTCCTATTTTTGTGAAACGTCCTCTTCACCAAGGGTAACTGTAACACTGTCCTTGCACCTGGCAGTGATTATGACCCAACTCACTAATCCTCCACAAAGCATCTAACAGGGCCTGCAATCTCAGTTCCCAAACGTTTATTGAGTGTTGTTAAAAGGAAAGGTGATGTAACACAGTGGTAAACATGCTCCTGTTCCAGCTACTTTGGCACGTGTTGCAGCCATGAAATTCTGAGTTAATTATTATTTGCAAAAAAAAAAAAAAGTTTATGAGTTTGAACACTAAATATCTTGTCTTTGTAGTGTATTCAATTGAATATAGGTTTAAATTTGTTTTTGTACATGTGATGCTTATATTTTAAACTCTGAATGAATGCTTAGCATAGGACTTCATTTCTTCTCTACTCATTTGTTCTTTGGCTTTAGTCATATCTTATAATTTCATATTAGTTGTATGTTTTTTGTATTAAGCAAAAGTTTCTCTACATAAGAATAAGAACTTTTTTTTATCCCTGAAGGGAAATTCAGTTACATCTACATGGCATTTAACTGCCGTGTAACAAGTCACACTCAGTTTGCCAGGCCAAATAAACTTTGAAACTTAGGTCTGAATCAAAATAAATAGGTACATTAGTGTTCAGGGTGGGCCATGGCATTGCATCATACTGTAGGAGTAAAGGGCTGGTCAGACTTTACTTTAAGGTCTTCCTTTAATTATGATCTCCTGCCTCGATTGAAAGTCCAGTTACGAAGATTGTTTGAGTTTAGATATGAAACCCTCTATTTTGACAGTCAGGCCACAGGAGAGGAAAACTAAACGGATGCCTGCACTTGACTAGCTAAGTGTAGATTGTAGCTTGCCGTGTCACTTACTCTGCATTTAAGAAGTCGCAAGAAGAATCACTGGTATCATGAGTGTCCCCTACCATGAGGCAGGAGAACTGCGTGCTTCACTTCGTGCTCTTTCTCAGCTGTTTTATGATTGCTCAGCACAAGAAACATTACACACATACGATTGTTGACAAAAGAAAAAACACTGTATGTTGTATACATAAGCTAACCTGTGGAGATTTACTTCATATAGCAAAAAAAAAAGGTTTGAATATTTTAATAATGACATATAGAGAAATAGCAATATGGTCTCACTGCATAGCAGGCCAATACAGTTAGCTGAGTCATTGCACAATCCATAGTGAGGCTCATCTGGCTGCTGCCTCATCACACTTCACTTCTCAGTATTTGAACAGTAAATGTGAAAACTCAGCAATTTTGAATAAAAAGTAATCTAAAACTGGTGAAGTTAAATGAAAAATACCTTCATAGTGCAAATCGCTAGATAAACATAACAATTTAATTATTTTTTTCATTTAACTTTTTTTTCCCATGATGACAGGTAAGGCACGGCCTCCCCTGACTGCATGTCACTGCCCTGCAGTGTGTTTTAGTCGGTTCCACTCAGGCTAAAGGTCCTCCTAAAACAGGGAAAGTAGTCATAAGCAGTATTCGCCTTTAGAACTGCATGGGGAGATCCAGTGAATAAAACGTTCTTCAATTCAACTTCTTGGTGAGTAGAAGATGAATGAAGACTATCAATGGGGAAGAGGAGAATAACAGTGATCTTTCTTGAGAGTTGAGAGACAATGACAAAAAAGGAGAGGAGGAGAGCTTTGAGGTCAGTAGCTGGATTTAAGTAGAAAGAGGGAGGCAGACTTTGCCCAAGAACACCTGAAATCCAATTGTATTATTAGCGTACACTAACATAAAACTCAGTGTCATGAATAGAAAGAGCTACTTCACTGTGTTTGCTTTGAGCCTGAGAGAAAGGGGGGGACTTATTG